AGTTGTTTTCTTGGGATTAAATGAATTCTGTTTAAATCACTTTGACTGCTATATTTATTTGGAAATTATTGTTGGTTAAGAAGCAGAGCTGCAAGCAGAAAACCTGCCAAATCCTCTCTGCTAATGCAGTCTGAGGCGAGGCTGTGGTTGGTCACTGTCAGCTGAGGCAGAGGACTTGGGAGCGCGAGCTGCTTCCCCGACCAGGAAACATGGCAGTTACAAAAATATTTCAGGTAGTTCTATAACTACCTGAAATAAAGAAGCCAGGGCCACTCCGGTGCTGCCTATCGCCACAATCTTATTGTTTTTAGCTGATCTGAGCTCACAAACATCCAGGCTGTCATTGGCGAGGCTCCTGTTGACTGACACTATGAACTCAGTGGATCTGTTCCCCAGCAGCCGCCTCAGCAGCCCGGACACCGCTCGCGCCTGCTCCTTGTCACTAGCTTTGGGTTTGATATGGTCCAGAGTGGAAAACTTACAGCTAATAATGAGAAAAAGACAGAAGAAAACTACAGCCACCTCACAGCTCCTCGTGGGGACATTTTAAACCCCAATTACAAGCAAAACACCTGTCTAGGCTGGAATGATCTACATTTTCAGATAAAGACCAGGAAGTGGTGCATGATAATAAGTAATCCAAAAAGAGGCAGAGCTTTTGTAACACCGTTTCTATAAAATCATATTTTAGAGTTAGACCTAAAATAGATGATGAGCTGCGACAAAAAAACTTGCTGCATTTCCCTAACATGTTCTAAGGCAGATCCTGAACCATGCAGTGTTATGTGATTGCTGGAGTTGGGGGGTTGTATGCAGAACCTCAGCTGGTGGACCGAGAGCTCAGAGGCTGTTCCTGCTGCTGCTGCAGCCACTCAGATCATCAAACTTATTTCCATTTTGACATTTCTCAATGTTACTTGAACATGCCGTCCCCATGGTAAAACATGGTGATGGCAACATCATGCTGTGCAGGATTAACAGAGTTAATTACAAGACTTCGTGCTTCACGTAGCTGAGCCTGAGCTTTATTGTTTGGAACAAAAATGGGCAAAAAAGTACAATTTCAGCTTCTTAAATAATTTTGATGTGTTAATTTCAATGCACTTCACAGTTCTATTTCTGTTTATGACAAAATCCAAAAATAAATACATTGAATATTGTAGTTTGAAGATATTTGTATATCTTATGTCCATCTGTTACACAAAAGATTCACTAAAAAAGTATTTTGATGATTTTATTTTAATATGGCATAATAGAAAACAGCATGGTATCACATTCTTCTATATTCTATTGAAAAGTACAAAAACAAAGTCAATTCATCTCAGAAGAAAAAGTTGATCAGAAACAAAAATTAATGAATACAAATTTGCATGTGACACACTATGTACCTAGCAACCAGTGGAAAACATCTCAGAGTATCAATCTGCTAGATGTATTAAAAGGTAAACATCAGATGTAGATCAGGGTCAAAACAAAAGTACCTAAAATGTATCAGACACGTTAAGGAAAACTCTTTCAAAACAGTTTATGTTTAAACATAAGTTTTCTTATGTTTCACATGGTAGAAAACAAATGTGGAATTTAAGCTGATAGAGGAACAGTAATAGTTCTGTTCAGACACAGTTAGGGAAATCTGCAGAACTCGACTTGAAGGACTGAGATTATTTACTGCAAAGTAGAGCTAATTTCTCCAGGGTTTAAAGCTAGCATAAGGATTTCACGAGAACTTTTTTTATGATGTTATTCATTAACCGACTGTGACTACTTATTTCTTCTAATCGGTGACACCTTCTCTTATCTCTTGAGGTAAAATGTGAGGCTGTACAGTACACACAACCAGCAGGGTGTGGTCTCACTCCACATTATCAAAAGTGCGGCAGGCTAATTTTGTTGTAATCAGAGGTGCACCTATTGTAGTTTCGGGCCGGTCACTGATCACCTGACCTGCTGATTTTGACATTTGTCTAAGAAGTTGCTAAAAATGTTGGAAAGTGGAGCGACGACTGCGAACTGAGCATGTGCAGAAATGACCTGGTGGGCGGGGCTGGAACTTAGCTCTGACATCAGAGCAGAAAAGGCCAGTGGCTGATTTTCAGACTATTGCAGAGGTGGGTCAGATCAGTGGATAAGATCATGCAAGTATTGATCAATCTCCCAACATTAAGGAACTCCAGGTTGATTTATAAGTCCAGCCATTGTTATTACAGACTTCCTCCTCCAGTTAAAGTTTTAAAAATGAGAATTTAATTACCCTTTGTCATAATAACCCTAAACAACTATTTTCTATTTAAGAGTTTTATTAATATTCCAACTATTTTGCCTCTTATGAATTTTCTGTTACAGCATGTTTGTGCACAGGAAATGTTTTTACAAGTCTGCCATCTCCAACACGTAAAAGGCACATTAAGACTTTATTTCACCTTGTTAGGACACATTAGTTGGTGTAAATGTAGATGTTTAAGACGAAGGTTTTAGGATTAAACTCTGCTTCATTCTAGTGTGACACCCAGCTGTCTGCTTTGTGTTGCATTAAACAGCTCTATAAGAAATTAAAAACAGTAGATGAATTTCGAACTCAAAGTGAAAACGACAGCTTGACAGTAAAATCTAATTTAACATGTTTCAACACCTCAAGTCAACATGATGCAAGGCAGTATGGTGGAACAAATGCATTTCAGGGAAAAATACATCTCAAGACATTCAATTCAATTCAATTTTAACACAAAGTTAGACAATGTAACTTCTGAGGAAGGAAACAAAAAGATCTCTAGAAATGTCATCTTTGTGTATTATATTCTTCAGGAAACCTAGAAGCAGCTACTTGACACAGTTTGTGTTATTTAGCAACTAATTAGTTCGGCTCATAGTCAGAACTACAACCAGGACCTGCAGATGATTTAAAGTGATACAGTTCACACAAATGTGCATGAAACACACAAGTGTGTTGAGTGGTAAAGACACTGAAGTTCTCTGTCCCTAGAACCTACAACTATGGCAGAGCATTTCTGCACAGACACTCTCCTCTGCTTGGGTCTCCTTTCATATTAGCTGATCTTATTATCCCTTTGTTGTGTTGGAGCTGCAAAAACACAGCTGGGGCTGAAAACAAAGCAATGGGATGAGAGCTGTCTGTTCCAATCTCATCAGCTCTGGTGCAAAACATGCATTCAGAATTCATTCGTAGAAAAGGGCTCCTATGTCAAGCCCTACACTTCCAGAGGACAGCATAGAGAATCATCTAAGCTGTGTGAATGCACTGGTCAAATATTTTCGTATTTAAGCGTTTGGCTTGTTGCAAGTGGAAGTCTCTGCTTTCCTACACATTGCAGCACCTGTTTGAGGCAGAGGGGGGCAGTGTTTCACATAATAATCCTGGAAACCTGATATTCCAGGATTATTATGTTTTTATTAAAGGCACAAAATTAAGGAAACATGTTTGATCAATTATGTCTTTGTTGTAGCAATGCCTCTTGGCTGTGTGTTTGTTGGAAAGCCTGTTTGTTTCCCTCAACATGGAGATACATTTGTCAGAAAGACTCATCAGTGTCGACCTGCAGAGCTCAGTTTGTTGGTTCCACCAAAGAAAAACCAGTCAAACTCTCTCTGCCAACGCCAGGCAGCTCATTCTGATGATGATTCTCGTTTGGAGCCGTTAGTTGGATTAGATATTGAAAAGGATAAAATAAAACACACGTTTCCTTTTATGTTTGTTAATATTGACGCCACCTCATATTTCATACAAACAGGTTTCTCTTCTGAAGGGTTAGAAAAAGATAAATTAGATTCAACAACCATTCTAATCTATTTGGACCAAACTGATTCATCACTGATTTGAATCAGCCATAAAGTTGAAGTCAGAGATGGATGAACAAAAAACTGCAGCTGGTTTGATGGTTGACACTTTCTGTGAAGTTGAAATTATTGTGGCGCTGTGGTGGCGCACAGGCAAAACACGACCCGCCTGTTGAGGCCATGATCCTCGTGGCAATAGCTGCAGGTTCGATTCCCAGCCAGGCGACATTTGCCGCATGTCTTCCCCCTCTCTCATTACACTCTTTTCAGTCCAACTACTTTCAAATAAAGGGCACCAACACCAATAAAACCTTTAAAAAAAGTTGAACTTACATTTAAGATATAAGTGACATGTCTGTGAGTACCGTTTGTGTTGAAGGTTCCTGGTGTTTAGCAAGAAGTTACATAGTATCAAAGTTTTTCTCTCTTTCAAGTTTTTAGAAAATATATAATGACATATTTTTATTGCAAATAGAAAATAGATGAATATTTTAGTACTTATTCACAGATAACTATACAATCATTTCTGGACAAGCTTTTTTCTCCCCAGTTAAAAAGGCTTCCTCATTTCTTGCAGGTTCATCAGCTATACATGAACTTATTGTACAGCTTCTACTGAAAACATCTGCATGCCTCACCTCTATGAAAAATACCACCAAGCAAATTCAGACAAGAGAAACTCTGGTGAGCTTGAGAGGATATTAGCCTGTAACTATAGCTCTATATTCTCCTCATATGGACAAACATTACTAAATGCTAAAACTGAACTGTGAAGTGGATCGAGGTGTCAATCAAGCTTCTCTATTATTGCCCTTCAGGATTTTGGGGGTTGAGTGTTAAAAAGACAAAAAAAACAACCAAACATAAAAAACACACAAAGGTATGCAGCGGCTTCACGTTTCAGGTTCAGGACTGCTGACTGCTCCATTGGTTGGCCATGGGCCTGCGGAGCAACTCCTCCACATGACGGGCAACATCCATTGTGTCCTCCAGGTTGAAGTCTCCATCCGGATCCAGCAAGTTCTCACTACTGGCCACACAACAGAGACTAAAGTTAGGAGGTTAATGGAGCACAGGAATCATTCTGTTTACTGACCAAATCTATAGCATCAATAACTGGCCACTTTATTATACATGGCAGCAACTTGATGCATTTAAGCATCTAGAATCTAGATGGACAAATGTTTTCTGCAATGTGTTGAATCCAAGAACCAACCAGGCTTTAGCAAGATGTATAAAATACTAAATACACTGTTAAAGTGTTTACTTTCGGCTGAAAGTAAACACTTTAACATACTGGATCGGACCAATAAATGAAAAACTGGGTTACTAAAGCTGCACTATGTAAGTTTAATAAGAAAATATTTTTTTTACTTCAACTGTGTCGTGACAGCATGAGACACATGATCTGCCTCCTCACTGTGGTTCAACTGTAGAAACGCACCACTGTCTGTCAGAAACAACCAATCAGAGCCAGGGGGAGGGCCTTAGTGCAGTCAAAAATCACATCAATGTATGATATTAACATATTTATATGACTCCATACCCAATATCACAATTTTTTTATGTGAATTTTATTTTGTATGCCTACTAGTGCATGTAGGCATGCTATTTTGTATGCCTACTGTGAATATCATTTTAAAGATGCAGCTCAAACTAAAATGTCTCATAATTTTACAAGCTCAGTAAAATTGGTTGTTGCCTCCTTATTGTATCAAGAACCTTAAATCATTCATTTTCTTATTTTTATTGCTGTTATGCATATACTGAGAGCATCAAAAATAAATGAATGCTAATCCTCTTAAGGCTCATACTTGGACCAATAAAAAATTAAATTGCTTAATTTTGCTTTGGTGTACAAAACTTACAAAATATTTGCTTTCATAAGACAAAATAATTTTGAATACAAAATGCAGGAAAGGAGTACTGCAATCCAATTGTTCCAGGTTTGATTGTAAACTGTACCTAAGTGTCACTAAACAGCAGACGAGGCAATGAAGAACAAACTGTGTATTTACATGGAGGAGTAGACACCAAAGTTGTTGGAATGGCTCCCAGAGGACGAAGCTGTCTGCTCCATGAATACAACTCCAGTGGAGGGCTCAGGATTTGGGGTGGTGAATCTACCAGACACGGAAACGTCTTCAGTAAAAAGAACAATAAATAAAAACAGAAGAATTGCAACATTAAGATTTACAGATTGACTCTGTGAATCAGTTTCAGTTTCAAAACCCCAAATATGTCCAACTCTGAGTAAGACACTGAACAGAGCCGTGAGCATTTGACCTCATAGATTCTTTTTCACAATATGAAAGTCTAAACAATCACAGAAAACAAAACATCATACACAGGCTTAACGGAACCTGAGAGCAGGTAACATTATGTTCTCTGTTTTATTCTCTCTCTAGAAGTTAAACATAGCTCTGGTATTCTAGAAGTGACCTTGAAGGGGCAGCAGCTGACCTCCTGCTGCCAGTACCTTCACCATCATCCTATATATAAGGGAGGGCTGCAGAGTTAACAGCACCATGCAGTCCACTGCTGCTACATGCGCTGAAACATTTAGGTATGAAAGAAAAAGCAACAACAAAAAGATATCAATCTTTTAAGAGGAACGACATTTCCAGACCTTTTAGAATGAAAACGTATAAAATACTACAAGAATGGCTGAGAATTTATATTTATAAGTTTTTGAAGTACAGTGGTTTTACAGTATTTTACTGTAAAGTTAGTTTTAAATAATCTAGTCCTTGTTCTCTAGATACTTCATGAGGTTTTTCTGTTTAGTTCATGACATGCATTTTAATATTAGACAACGTAGAAGATCAGCACTGTTACAATCTGAGTTTTATGGATTGCCTTTTGGGATTTAACACAAAAGTTTGATACTTGCTGACAATAACTGTCAGACATATTATGGAATCAACTTACTCTGGTACAACTTGTTTGATTTGCGGTTTAACGTATCCATCCACTGGTTTCGCTGGAAGATAAATAACCCCTTTAGGTTTACACCATCACTTACAGTCATATTGATGAAACCCTTTAAATCATCAGCATATACTTAAAAAAAAACTAAGCAGTCGGTACACATACAGAGTGGAGGGGTGTAGTACTTGGCAAAGACCTCATCCTTTGCCCGGTCAGGGTAAAGAAACAGAAGGTGGTTCAAGTCACTTATGCGATCAGCCAGGGAACGAATGGAGAAGTCCTTCGTTGTGTAAGGCAGCAGATTCCAGACCAGCCTTTCACCTACACAATTAGATCAAAGATGACAATGCTAGATTCAGTAAAGATTGGTTTCTGACTGGAGCTCCCAAAACCACCATACACACCAATAGACCAATAGGAAGATGTATAAAGCCTTCCAATTGGTAAGAAAATATTCCAGGTGTTTACAGGATGCTGTTCCAGGCACTGAAGGAATTACTGCTGTCATTAACTCTTTACTTTCTCATCTCTGTGTTTTAGTGTGCATGTTCTCTCTTCTCAAACCTCCAGTCACCCATGACTGACAACACTGAGCTAAGTTCTGCTTTTGCTGGAACTTTCTTCCTGTTAAACATGACTTCTCTGGACTGTGGATACATGAATGCTCAATATGATGAACTGTTGCAAATTAAATGACTGAGTTCCCTTGGATAGAAAATGTTTTCACCAATTTGAATAATAAACTGAACTTAACTGCATTGTCTGATAATTGGGAGTAAACTGGAATCTGTGTTATGGACTTTGAACCTGCCTTCATGACTGGACTGAACTGAGCGCACTATATGTTTTTGTAAAAAAAATAAGATATTTTCTGGTCAGTGCCTAAAGATGACAATTTTTTGACAGGTGATGGGAACTAAAAACCATAGCCCGTGGTTTGTGTTATCAATCTTATTCAAATCTAACATTTATAAAGACTCTCCTTCTAGTCCCTGAATATTGGTCTGTTTTTGTTTTAGGCTCTTATGTATGCCATTACACTGTTAACTCTGGGCTACCTGGCTAAGTGTTTTATGCAGATAACTTTTTAACTTGACTATTCTGTAGAGTCTATATAGCCCTGTTATTGGAAGAAGTGTTAATATATATTTTGGATTATGTGTTTTTGATGGGGTTTTTTGCAAATTTTCTTGTCTCATGTATTTTTTCAAACAGAATAACCAAACTGCAGGTGTGTTTTGAACTGAACTAGCTGTCCTTCAGTTGGAAGGGATGCAAAATCTAAGGCTACATTCACACAGCAGATCTTGATGCTCATTTTCAATATTTTAATAAAATCAAATTTTTTTTGTGTGGTCATTCATACAATCAGTCAATCCAAATATCAATGAGCATTGTTTTCAGAAGTAATAACTTCAGCACTATCCACGAACAGATTCTTAATTCCGAAATGGGAGCCAACAGTACTGTGACAGAATTGTTACATAACATCATAAACATAATTTCAGCCATTGTTTATGTCATAATTTACTGGCATCTGGTTTCTTATGTTGGAAAGTGTAATGCATGTCTCACATCAATGACAAACATTATTACATCAATTAAGAATATTGTAATATTCAACTTCCATGTCATCCAACACAATACAACCTGATTAATTTTTTTTTACCTTGTTTGTTGGGATTTTCAGCCACCCAGGCAATAGTGATGCCTCCAATCTCAGAGTCACTGAAGCGCAGCAGGAAGGTGCCGTTGGGTTTAGACAGCAGCATGTCCTGAGCCTGCTGCTTGTTCACAAACCCAAGAATAGCTCTGAAATCACATCCATGGGGGGGAATTAACTAAGCTGTCTGTTTTCTGGGTCAAACATTAAAAAGTGTGAAACATTCAATAAATGCAGACAGTGTTAAAAAATAGACTAATAATGCACCATTTTAAATGTACATAAAAACCCCCAGCTTTTTTGAAAAGAGCTACAAAATTCATTACCCATCATTCCAATGAGGTTTCAGGTATTTCTTCATCAGCTCTACAACACCATCAAACCACTGCCAAAAAGTAAAGTTGCGTCCAGGCAAGTTTTCCTGTTAAATCACGTAAAAAAATCTGTCAGTTTGTTTCCAGAAGACCTGAAATCTGAAACCAGATCTGATTGTAACAACTCAGCATGGAAGACCGTTTCCAACTGTTCAAAAAAATAAAATAAATGATCTCATTACAATGAGCTACTATCTCATTACAATCATTACGTTCATCATACATCTCGAAATCACAAGAGCCCCGTCGTCCATCTCGAAATAAATTTGGCTGCGTCCATCTCGAAATAACACGATCGGCGGCGTCCATCTCGAAATAACGTGATCGTCGGCATCCATCTCGAAATAACAAGATCGCCATCGTCCATCTTGAAATAACGCGATCGGCGGCGTCCATCTCGAAATAACAAGATCGCCATCGTCCATCTTGAAATAACGCGATCGGCGGCGTCCATCTCGAAATAACGCGATCGGCGGTGTCCATCTCGAAATAACGAGAACGGCGGTGTCCATCTCGAAATAACGAGAACGGCGTCCTCCATCTCGAAATAACAAGAACGGCGGCATACATCTCGAAATAACGAGATCGGCGGCGTCCATCTCGAAATAACACGATCGGCGGCGTCCATCTCGAAATAACACGATCGGCGGCGTCCATCTCGAAATAACGTGATCGTCGGCATCCATCTCGAAATAACAAGATCGCCATCGTCCATCTTGAAATAACGCGATCGGCGGTGTCCATCTCGAAATAACGAGAACGGCGGTGTCCATCTCGAAATAACGAGAACGGCGTCCTCCATCTCGAAATAACAAGAACGGCGTCCTCCATCTCGAAATAACAAGAACGGCGGCATACATCTCGAAATAACGAGATCGGCGGCATACATCTCGATATAACGAGATCGGCGGCATACATCTCGAAATAACGAGCACGGCGTCATCCATCTCGAAATAACGAGCACGGCGTCGTCCATCTCAAAATAACGAGAACGGAAGTGTCCATCTCAAAATAACGAGAATGGCGGTGTCCATCTTGAAATAACAAGATTGGCGTCATCCATCTCAAAATAACGAGATCGCCGTCGTCTATCTCGAAATAACGAGAATGGCGGTGTCCATCTCGAAGTAACAAGATTGGCGCCGTCCATCTCGAAATAACAAGATTGGCGCCGTCCATCTCGAAATAACGAGATCGCGGTCGTCCATCTCAAAATAACGAGATCGCCGTCATCCAAAATAACGACATCGGCGGCGTCCACCTCGACATAAGGAGATCTGCAGCGTCCATCTCGAAACAACACTATCGGCATCGTCCATCTCGAAATAACGAGATTGGCGGCATACGTCTCGAAATAATGAGCACGTCGTCGTCCATCTCAAAATAAAGAGCACGCCATCTTCCATCTTGAGATAACGAGATCGGCGGCGTCCATCTCCAAATAACGAGATCGGCGGCATCTATCTCGTAAAAACGCGATCACCGACGTCCATCTTAAAAGAACGCGATCACCGACGTCCATTTTGAAATAACGCCATCGGCGACGTCCATCCCGAAATAACGCAATCTCGTTACAAGATCGTCACATCTCATTAAAACCATATCGTCGCATTTCATTAAACCATATTGTCGCATCTCATTAAAACCAGCTCGTCGCATCTCATTAAAACTATGTCAGCGCATTGTGTCAAAACCATATCGTTGCATCTCATTAAATCCAGCTCGGCGCATCTCATTACGAGATCGTTGCATCTCATTAAATCCAGCTCGTCGCATGTCATTAAAACTGTATCGGCGCATCTCACTAAAACTGTATTATCGCATCTCATTATAACAAGATTATTGCATTTCATTACAACGAGATCGTTGCATCTAATTAAAGCCAGCTCGAAGCATCTCATTAAAACTCTATCACCGCATCTCATTAAAGCCAGCTCGTTGCATCTCATTAAAACCAGCTCGGCGCATCTCATTACGAGATCCTCGCATCTTATTACGGGATCGTCGCATCTCATTACAACGAGATCGTCGCATCTCATTACGAGATCATCACGTGATTTTTTTTAAACGTTCTTCCATAACACATTGTTTCTTAATAGAAAATGCCTAAGTATTATTTAGCACAGCTTTAACAAATAAAACATAGCGTTAGAAAAGTCAAGTTGAGATGCTGCTCAAATATACTTGCTCTACTATCAACTTCATTAGAGCAAATGAAGTTGACAGTAGAACAATCAACTGCTACACCAATTGCTGCGAAGGTTTATAACAACAAGCAGCTGTTAATATTTAAAGTTTTCCCATTCAGACACTGCAAATAATGAAACTTTGGTTTATGTGACATTTTATTTGTATTTACAGCCACATTCACCTGCTTGGAGAAAAGCTTAAATGAGAAAATGAGCCGGCCTCACCCGGTTGAACTGGGCCCAGGAAATAGTCATGTTACGGTAATCCTCAGGGTTATTACTGCTGTTTGAAAATGCTTTCTGAGCCAGGAAGACCAGGTTATCCTCCGTCAGGCCACGCCCACTGTGCATTTCTGCCTTGTACTTCATATCAAGGGCTTCACATAACTGGGTCCACAGCACTTTGTCAGGGACAAGGAATGGCACTCTTCCCTAATGAAGGAGAGGTGAAAGAACAGTGTTAATACAAGTATGGCTAGCTAAGGCACTGAGGCAAATTAAAACAATTACAATGATTACCATAATATAAAAAGCTGCATTAAACATTACCAGAGTGATATTTACTCTGGAAAAACATTACTCTTTGTACGTAAAGAATAATGTTTACAATCTTTACATATTGTGGAAAAGTAATTAAAGATTCATACTTTTGAGGACCAGCATCTTACCGGCTCAGCAAAGGCATTGTCCCACAGGACTGTTGCCGTGGCGTTGTTGTCCTGACTGCCATGGACAATCACAACGACTGGTAAAGACAGAGTCTGCAGGTCAAACATAAAACATCAAAGTCAACAGGGAAACAAAAGCATTCTGAAATTATTTGAATTTGCACAATTACAAAACGGAATTGCATTGCTATGATGGGTTAGGCTTGCACAGAATCATAAAACAGTACTTTTACTGGACTATTTTAAGGGTTCTGATAGTAAAAAATAAATGAAATATTTTAAGGCTTCCATGTGAATGACCTTGACATGAAACACCAGCTCGTTTCCTCCAATGCTGAACTGGGACTCAAACAGAATTGTAAACTTTTCCTCTGTCACAGACTCGGCACCTCGACGATCCGAACGCTTAATTCGCTTCAGTGACTGTGAAAGAACAAACAAGTGACATATTAGAAATAAAGCACTTCACCACAACAAGCAGAGTGGTAAATGTGTAACTTTTAAAACCAAAAGCTGCCACACAGACAGAAAGGGAATCAAATCCCTACAATGGCTTAGGTTTTGGGATTCACTGACCTTTGAACTTTAAAGCAAAACAAATGAAAAACACATACAGACTGGATCACTTTGTCAAAATGATCCAAACTGTACACTGCCGTTGTGTTTTACATTATGTATGAAATTCCTAAATCAAAATTTAGAAAATCAATACTTATTATAAAGGATCCACAATAGATCGACATCAACAAAGGCATTGGCCGATGTTGGTCATTTTTTTCCACATTTCGGTATCTGTTCAATATGGAAACTGGGCCGATATTAAAACTTTTATTTATTTCCATCTTGTTGTCGTTTGTGTGTCTGGATGTGGATGTGATGAAGTTGGCACTTTGGTCATGTGACAGTAAAGCAGCGTAGGATTGTGGGGAGTTTAACTGAAGCACAGTATAAATGTATGTTTTTTTATGGAGTTGAACGTGAAAGGAAATATATACAGCTCTGGTAAACATGAAGAGACCACTTCAAATGAACAGTTTCTCTGATTTTACTTTTTATAGTCATATGTTTGAGTAAAATGAATATTTTTCTTTTATTTTATGATCTACTGACAACATGTCTCTGAAATTCCAAGCAAAAAATGTGTATTTATTAGCAGAAAATGAGAAATGGTCAAAATAAAAAAAGATCCAGTGTTTTCGGACCTCAAATAATGCAAAGTAAACATGTCATATTCGTTTAGAAACAACAACAATATTGTTTTAACTCAGGAAGAATACAGAAATCAATACGTAGGAGATTTCCAGTGGGATTCAGTGCAGTGGGCTCTTAAGTTTTTCCAGAGCTTTATATAAATGTGACATCAGTAAATCCAGGTTATTGGCCATTAAAGCAATACTAATATTGGATAGCGATATCAGCACAGAATCTTATATTGGTGCACCCCTTATGATTATTGATTGATAGTGTTTCTATGAGCAAACAATTGTAAAAGGCAGACAGAGTGCAGTGAATTGGTTTACCATGTTACGGAAGTGTGCACTCAGAGTGCCAGTGGCCTGGTGGTACTCCATCACACAGTTGTTGTTGAGGATTTCTCCACTGCTTTCACTGTCGAGAGGAAAGACACACATTCTCTATACTGTCCCTTTAAGAAAAAAGCTAGACTAAAACTAGCTTAATTAAATTAATCCAAACATAATTCAAGCTAACTGTATAACAATAAAACATCTTACATAATGACGATCTTTAAAATTATGTCAAGATGAGAAACGTATAAGATCTCATTTCAGCTCATACTCAAGGGAGAGTTTCCCCCAGAAACCTTCTAGACCGGTGGGTGGGAGGGCGCAGTCATGCATCATGGCTGAGCTCAAAATGTTTAAAGTTGAAAACATCACTAGGTAATTATGTGTTATTGGAAGACATTATTAATGATACATTACCAAAAACTATAACGTTTAAAAGGGCAAACATAAAAAAAATACAATAAATATACATTTTTTGCGCTTCATCTTCATTAGAGTGTCTACATTTTTTTAAATTCTTTTTTCTGTGACTTGTCATTTTATTTTCTGAAGTTGTTAGTATGTAGAGTGCTAGAGACAGGCAGTGGTTCCAGAGTTCAGGTGAATAAAAAAGTCTGTGTTGACATACTGACTATACTATGTTGTCACTATGAAACTGTAAAATATTTCACCTATGAAACTCTCTAACCTGTCTTAGCAATCTTTGCAATCACTGTTACTGCTGAATAAAAAAAACTTAAAGTAAATAAAGTAACAATTGAAGCCTGGTTGCCTGCCAGGCTTATGATGCACTGGAGGAGACCAAAGCAGTCTTGACCAGGGCAGCTATTTGTCTCAACTCATGAAATGTATCAATTACTGTACATCTATAATAACCACAATTAAAGCTGTAATGTTTTATTTTTAAAAATCTGAAATATTTTACTTTTCTTATCCAATAAAATGTCTGGTGGAAGTTTTGAATGAGACAAGTTTCCATCCGGCTAAGCTCCTCACCTGTGTGTGCTTTCATTCTTCAACAAAGCTTTGGCTTGCTGCTCGCTAACAATGACGGCCTTGACCTGCGGTGGGTTCATGTGGACGTTGAGCTTCCCCCCAACAAGAAGACGGACTGTAGCTGCGAACTTTGTCTGGGTCTTTAACACCTGGGGCGGCTGCTTTTCAATGATGAAGGTGCTGAAAATTAGAAACACAGTAACATCTTGATCAGCAGTGTACAGCTGACTGATGAACATCAGAGTATGGATTAAGAGAACATCAATGAGAGATTATTCACTGCATTAGAAGAAAAATTAAATGTGGACAAAAAAGAAAGTGAAATAATTTGTAGTAGAGTTGTCACCATATGAAGTCTAAAAAAGGCAGCAGTATCTTTTTTTATTTAAAGAATTGGTTCTTTGTGGTAAAATGCAAAAGTACAATTAATTCCAATAAGACAACATTTTAACTTTCTTAATTAGGGCAAAACTAATAAAACTGAACTCTTATTTAGAAAGATATGTAAATATCTTGTTAAATCCCCAAAATATAAAACAATATACCAATATAATGTTAATATTCCTAACATCCAGTTTAACATTCCGTATATAGGTGCATGTCGCCTGTATGAATGACATGCACCAACACGTCGCTCCGCTCAGTTGTGGAAAACAATTTGATCTTCTTCGGACTGCTTGGGAAAGATTTCCAGGACAAAATCTGATTGATTCAAATACACACTGTGCATATAAATGAGATTTGTTGAAAGTCCCTACATGGCTTTAAGTGTTCAATATGGAAAAATAAGTGGCTGAGTTTTACCTTGTGACCAGGGCAGAGATGATATCAGTAATGTCAGCGTTGAGTTTGGTGAGCAGCTCTTCTATTGAACCAGGCAAAGGGAGCTGCTGGGTAAGATGCTCACAGCGCCGAATCTGCTGTCGGTTCTGCCAAATCAAGTCCGCCAGCTTCTCGCACCTTTACAAGAAGGAAAAATGCCTCACAAAGGTGTATTCACAAAATAAAATGAATGTATATAACATGCTAACTTTTTATACAATAGGAGAATAGGAACGTGTCCCTCTAGAATTTCGTGGTTGTTTTTTGCAATCAAAATCACTGATTATGTGGTGGTACTTCAGAAATATTTGCAAGAATTTAGTGATAAATGCTGCCACTTGGAGGTGGGAGTTAGAATCACTTTACAGCAAAGTTTTTGACCATTTTTGCTGCAAATGTACAATAAATTAACAATTAATCAGGAGCACAAAAATGCAAATAATTGCAAAAAAATAAGAAAAAAAAGAAAAAGTTTGAGGGATCTGTCCAGGTTTTACCAGGACTGCAGAACGTCCAGTCCCCCCTCATGAGGACCCCCGTTGCCAGCCAGCTGCTGTCTCCTCTTCCACTGAATGAGTTCCTCGTCCAGGATCAGAGTCTGCTGTTTCCTCAGTAAACCCAGAGTCTTCTGGTGCTGATCTGCCAGGTCCTACCAGCAGAGAATCATCTGTGTGTAAACCTGACTTCATAAGCTCACAGCAAACAAACTCTGGTCCAATGAAAATGTCACGTTTGAACACATCCTCCGTCTCATCCACAGTCACAGTCCAACAACATGCACAGACACGTCGACCGGCTGTGGAAAACTATAAGAGCTTTTCAGGAATGGTTGGAAAAGATTTCCAGGAATTATTTCAAAACCAAAGCAAAGCTCTAAATCCAGTTAGCAGAACTTGCAAAGATCTCCTGAGAAAGTAAACATTGCAAAACTGAGAATCTTAATAAATTAAAATCTATGGCTCATTTTATTGTTTATTATGTCTTGTAGTTTCCTTAGAGCAGCTCACTTTGAACGTCTGCAACAGCCAGAAGGTCTGAGTAAAGCCGCCTCATTTCTATCTCCTTTTTAAGAATCTAGTGCTCACAGTGAGCTCTGACGGATATTGTAGGAAACTGAGATAAAAGACAACACCCAGCATGTATGAGAAGCCTGGCAAGTCACAAGGCTTTACCTACACCCCATCAGACTACTGACACTTTTTGTGCAAACACAAATACCAACTCTGTTTTGAAAAACACTGATAAGCATGAGGAACATAAGACTAATAATAAGTAGTGTGTTTTCATACAAGCCTGTATTTCTGTAGTGTGCTGGCCTCTCTGGCAAGCCAGGCCTCCACAGTGGCCCTTTTGCTCTGCAGGGTGGCTTCCCGCTGTGTTCGCTCTGCTGGCGGGACTGAAGACAAGCTGCTCAGCTGGGCTGGAACAGGGAAGGGCAGACAGCATGCAGAATGTTAGAAACACAACTTGGTTCGTACCTCAGAGAAAAGACCATGACAATGCTCTGGTGACACTAAACCAGCTGGACACTGCAGTAAAGCCTATATGGGCCATTTCATGCATTGCAAGACACAAAGGCTGCGTACTAAATTGAAATAGTTTTGATTATGAAAGCGATGTTTGCTCTCCATTTGCGATTAACTGATTTCATGCATTAAAGCAGTTAATCTCCTGATGGATGAAAACAAGCTCAATAATTTCCATGTGCATGATTTATAGGTTTTTCTCTTTCCACCAAAATCTGGATGACAGACGTCTCTATCTGGTGTTTTGGTCTCACTTAGTCCTTCTTTGAAAGACACTTTTTTTTCAGAGACTTCATAATTAATTGTACTACATTTAATTTTTAAATGTTGCAGACATTTGACGGGTTGTGAATAAGACTGTCATGACACAGTCATAAACATGACATAACCGTCATGAACATGAGTAAGTCTTCATGAATATTTAAGACTGTTGTCATAAAGTGTCATTTGGAAAAAATCATGATACTTAATACAGAATTGACATTATTCAAAATGTCTTTGTTATGACAACTTGATGTTAACCAAGAAATTATGATCTGACATAAATTTGTAATAAAATTACTACTGATTAAACTTTGAAAATTATGTAGCTTTATGTTATTAAAGTTGATTAAGCTAAAGTTTAATCAGCTGTGAAGTGCAAAAGTGAAAGTGGGTGCAATGGTGAGATCAAAAAACCAATTGAGACAGTCAGGAAGTAGATTGTAGCAGCTCCTGAGTCCGGTAAAAGATTTGAAAAGTTCTCAAATGAAATTAAAATCGGTTATTCCACTGAACAGAAAGTAGTCTGCAAATGGAGGACATGCTAAACATCTACCACCATGTCCAGATCTGACAGCAGACCTCAAAATGCTAAAAGACAACAACATCATTCTTTATCACAATCATTTCTGGGACAAAAACACTAAACAATCATCACAAAGCCAAAACTTCTGGTTGCTGTTGAAAGTTCATGCTTGTTCAATCAGAAGAGACTGAACAAGTTTCATCTTCCTGGGTTTTGTGCAAAGAGGAAACTTTTACTGTCTGAGACAAACATGAAGGTCACCAGAGAGAATGCAGACAAAGACCAGAACTTCTCATGTTGTGAGTCTAAATGCAATCATGTGGACACAGAACAGAGGACATGTTTGACATAAACTAAACACAGAATCCAGGATGAGAACCTCATACCAACTATGAAGCATGGAGGTGGATGTGTCATGCTTTGGGGATGTTTGTTATAGCAAGACCAGACAAGAGCATCAGACGGTGTCTGAGGAAAATGTCAATAAAAACACTAACTCTAGGGTTTAGTGGGTATGTTGTTCTGATTTTTCCCTTAGGCAGGAAAAACACAAGAAATGAAAGTCAGAGTAAATATCTGGTTTGAAAATGTTCATTATTGAAGTTCATTTCACCAAGTTTCCTTTGTAAGAGCAGTCTCACCCTGGATGCGCAGGTTTTCCTGGTACTGGATGATGAAGTATTCCTGGCTGTGCTGCAGCTTCCTCAGCTCGTTCTCCGTCTCTTGTGTTGCTAGGCGCAGCTCTTCAAAAGCTTGGTTGATCTGTTGATGTCGCTGGGACAGCGTGTCCATGGCCTGCCCACCGCCCCCAGAGCTCGCCTGCACACAGAACCATGAAGAAACGTACTTTCAATACTGATGGCAACAAGTACAACCAACAATGTGTTATTGTTCCTAGTTTTATTGCTCTGCTGCAGGCTGGGAAGTATTTTTTTCACAAATGTCAGCTTATGATTAAACCCCCCCAAAACAAAACAACTTACATTTGTTGCTTCTTGAACAAGCCTCTGCTCTGACTGCAGGATGTGCTTGATGCAGCGCACCAATTCAAAAGGACAGCGGTCATAAGTGCTCTGCAGGGAAAAAAGATGAATCCATGTGGTTAAAACTCAGCATTTAATGTCACTTTAACAGCACCAATGCAACAGCACCATCCAGCACCAACATTTACAGTTCACTGGCACCTGGGGGGCTGTTGATGTCAATGTGAGGATCCCTATTGATGCATGCATTTCTGAAGTTTGTTGTACTGGAACAGACAGGAATGTGCCAACACAATGCCAAGAAGGAAAAATGTCTGCAATGACCGTAGAGAAGCAAGTGTTGCTACTCATCAATCTGGGAAGGGTTATCAATTTTAAACCTGTTACAATCTGAACATTCCACACAAAGAAAACATTTTCACACGTGACAAAGAATCCAAATTCTCATCAGGAGTATGTGCCAGGAAGTTTACACAGAGGCCTGACTTGGAAAAAATAGCTCAAGAGCTTTTTCCTTAAGTAGCCCCTGATATTTTATTTAAAGTTATTAAAAATAAAAATAATTTTTCATAATTTCTAAGTTAAATATTTAATTTTAACTTCTTTTGTAGAGCTATGAATTGGTGACCCTGGTGAACTCTTATCCATTTTTACATGCCAGATTTGACAAGCTACTTTAAATAAACTATGTAGACACCCACCAATACTGTAGCTCAGTACACTGACCAAGCTAATAAAATTTACACTAAAAGTGTTTGTGACGTAACCTTTGAAGTCATGTACAAGGTTATTTTCCCTTCATTACCAAATGAACATGTTATCTCACAGTGTGATCAGTACTTTTTCTTGCTTTATGTCTCTAGGCAATACCTCAGAAGAAAGCCTCCTGAGGAATCCTGAAAATCCAGTTTTGTGCTTACTGTCAGACTCCTGCCCCTACGCTGAAAGTGAGGTAAGGATCTCAGCACATATGCTGATGGATGCAGGTAGCACAGCTAAAGAACACACGCAGTTAAAATGAATGAACCAACAACACACCCAACAACAGCTACCTTGAACTGGCTGGCTAAATGTCCCAGCTTGATCTTGAGAAGAAAGCCATCCTCTCCTCCCTGAATCTGGGCTTTTTTCTGCAACTCTGCCACCAGGTTGTCAAGCAGATGCTTGGCTTTAGCCTCTTCTCCTGGGCTATCCAAATCCACAGAGTCCCTAGGAAACAAATGCTTTATTAGATCTAAAGCACTAAAAAGCAACATTGATTGCAAAAAAAAGAGAGAAACATTTCAACAAAACTATGTAACATCTATATCAGATCACAGAGACTCAGACAGAATCCAGCACAGGTTTGCTGCATACCAAGGCTGGCTTTCAATCCACTGGGCCAGGTAGTGCCGCACCTCGATGGGAAAATGTTGACCGTACAGCGCCTGCATCTGATGCAACGCGTCGCCCTGAAGCTGTTGGGCCTGAATCCACATCGCCATGGTGCAACTTGTGGAACCAAAACGCAAGTCGGAAAATAGGCCTGGAAAATAAGGTTTAAAAACAGTTTATTCCGAAAAGCATTAAGAACACCTGGAAGACTGCATGAAAGACCAACTACGATGTGTGTTCAAGAAAGGTTAGCATGTTTGCTTCCAGTCCAGTGAAGCGATTTAAATTCTGCAATAAAGAGGAGAACTAAGTGCGTGCAGACTTTAACTAGCCATTTATGTGTCTTCGCAGAAGATAAAACTTCAACGCTGTTGTTGGTCTTGTTAAGTTACTTTGAACTGTTGTAAAAGTCAGAAGAAGAAGAAGTCAGTCACTCCCTAAAGAAGTTGGGTGCATCGATGGCAGTTTTCTACCGATCACTAACCTTTAAGAAGCCTAACCTGGTGGTACTGGCCCACATTGATTGTTTTGATCTGAAAATTCACTAAATATACCAACAAAGTATCTAAGTTGGCAACAGCGAGGTGATTGTTCACCGCGCTCGTACAGACGTGACATGCTGGGCGGGTCTATCAGTCTCTTACACCACAGCAAAAAAAACGGGACAATGGCTGATTTTCTGGCCTTTGCAGAGGTAAACAAAGACCGGTTTCACATGAAGTGTCGCCTGACCCAAAATTAAGAAAATCAGGGATGTTTTATTGGCAGATTGATTTTTGTAGCATCCCCACTAAAAGCTCCTGTGATTGGACGGCTGAGGTGAGGAGCAGATGTTGAGTCTGTCAAATACTTTAGCAGTCTCGTTATTATTAGGAGTGGGTTATGTGGTAAAACTTACTTCTACCTAGCTGTAGAAGTATGTACGTATGCTTCTACATACTTGCATAAAACTTTGTTTTGCCAGAATAAAAGCAAACAATATAAAAGGTGCATGTATGTTTATCATCTACACATCTTATGTAAGATGTGTAGATCTTACACATCTTACATAAGATGTGTCATGTATATATGCACTCATGAGTGCATATACATGAGTGCATGTATATGAACTCATGTATATGTAAATGGGTGTATTACTACTACTTAAGGTGTGTGCAATTTCAAATATCCTTCCATCAGTTTACTACTAAAACAAAAAAGTATTATTGTTCCACTACATGCTATTTTCTTGGGGAGTCCTGAACTGCTATGACCCAAGAAACGGGTATGGGGTTATCAGCCAGGAACTAAAAATATATATACAAGAACACTAATAGAATCACTCTGCTCCAGCATTTAGTCTTCCCCAACATTTCTATCCAGCAGCGCTTGCATCCGGCAGGCAGGCTCAGTGGTTAACAAGAAATGAGTACTTGAGTTTTTCCCCATATTGTTGTTGACTATTGTTTTCTGAGTAATATTACTTCATCAAGACATTCCGACATTGCACACTATAAAGTAAGTAATACAAGTATGAATAATTCATGCTGATATATAGGGTCAATATCAGACACCCCTACTTATTGTGTGGAGCACTCTATAGGCAATGGGGAATTTTTTGCCCCCTTTTGGATTACCTCGTAAAACTTCTGTGTTACCCCGCAACAAGTTTTCCGTTTTCTCACAATAATGTCCTAATCATGTGGCATCATTGAATACTGTAAGCCTTTCTTCATCATACTTTCTGCTATAAGATTTTCATGAGGCTTTTCCATGTATCTTAATATCTGGTGAAATATCTGAAGTTCTATGTCTTTTTCTGTAGGATAGAAATGCACCACAAACCTATGATTAAAAACAGAAACTTTCCATAAGTAGTAAAGAAGAAAAAACACATCCAAGCTATATCTGAGCTATTATGGCAGGGTAAAAAGTCCGTTTTGATTGTCTCTTTTGTGTTCATCGTCTGAATGGTTTAAAGGGCCATTATCGAGCAGGTCCATCTCAGCCTTATACAAACAGGCACAAACACGCAGTATATAAATAAATTTAAAAAAATCAATCAATTTTTTGCACCAAAGAGTTCAGAATAAACAGGTTTTCACTGAGGCTCTTTAAATGTGCATATATTTGAAATTTTATATTGACATTCGTGACTGTATACAAAATAGACCAGCAAATGTTGCAGCAAGCATATTGCGAGGGAACACAAAAGAAAACATTTTTCCGGGAAGGGCTCCGTGCTATTAATATGAGAATTCACAACACAGACACAAAAAGCATCAAAGACATCAGCGACAGGTTATAATGGTAGATGGAGACTTTGTTTCGCCTACTTTAGATCAGTCAGCAAAAGCATAAACCCGTCAAAGTGTATCAAAGTGAATAAGAAGTGCATTGTTGACTTTTTGATAGTGTGAGAAGATTTCATGGGTTCTCGTGTGGAACTTCCAGGTAGGAAACGTCAGCCTACGTGGAAGTTAAAGTCACCGTCGCTTCTAAGCGGTGCAGTCCAGCGACACGGGCGCTGAAAGCAGAGCTTCTCTGGAGAGAAACGCCTGTGTGTCCTGCTGTAATAAAGTGAACAAGGCGAACGACCACAGGAGCGGAGTTCTACTCAATAAGATACTTTTAAAGCGGTACGCCAGCTAGCTAGTGGTGAGCTATCCCATTAGCTAGCACAGTGAAGAACAAACAAAACTTCACGCTCCAAGCGCGAGCGTTTCACTTCCTGAGGCCTTCACTCACCTTTGTGGAGGCTGCAGCTCCCCAGTGAACGCTACACACGAGCGGTAAAGGTTCAGCTTAGCCTGTCATGCTGAAAGCTTGTCCATAAACATTACTTATGGTTCTGCTAAGCAGGCTGTTGCTGATATCCGCTCCGGCATCAATTAATGTACTGCAGTCAGTTTACGACTTGAGACTCCAAACTGTAAATCTCGCTCTGATAGATTGGTGTTGGCGGCGTGTTCGTGTGACTGAGACAGTTTGACGTTTGTATTTTGTTGCGCACCGAGCTATTTCCGGGTGTATTGTTGAAGCTACAGACTGTCTCAGAAAGTCCCGCCTCTTCCTACCTACCGGGCGTCAAACGGCCAGACGCCAGGTGTGTCTAAACGCTGCGTGTTTCCTGCTGGATATACACGATATTATTCACTTTTTCATGACTGATATAACAACGGGTCTCCCAATAATCATAAGTTTGTATAGCAAGAGCACTCTAATACTCTTCCATATTGACATTGTTTTCCAATTTTAATTTTGTTTTTTTTAACGTAGTGATGTTTGCACCCTTAGAAATAAATACAATGGATTGGAGTTGATGTCGCTTTACTATTCAAGTCAGACGAAATGCTTCTCTACATGGCGACAGCACTTGAACAGTCTTTTCTCCTGGTGCGTTCACTGACAGTCTGTAAGGTAAATGGAAAGGTACCGCTGTATACGTCACAACGTATGTACCGTGTTGTTGTTGTTTTTATTACGCTCGAGTTTTACCTCATTTTAGTCTGATATTTTTTCCGATTAAAAAAGTAGGAATTCTGACATTTTTAATAACAGAATTCTTTTCTATTTTTCATTGTCGCTGAAAAACCACGCTGAAACCGGCGTTTATTATATATCTAACAACATTATTTAAGAGCCACTGTGGCTCCTGAGCCATAGCTTGCAGATCCCTGGTGGGGAATTTTTGACGAGGTTTTTCTTGGTTGATGTTTTCCGACCACTCTTCCTGACGGAGTCGTTGGACAGACCAGCCACACCCACATCCTGATGAGTGAACTGTAAATATGGATGTTTCACTGGTGGAACATCACCAGCACCCTTCTTTCTGCAGAGAAATGGTTTCCATATTCCGGACATTGAGGTGGATGATCCAGGAGGAAAATAACTTTGCTCTAGTCTGCAGCAGTCTCCTCGTTAGCTTGATGTCAGATGATAATATATGAAGTTAAGAAACCTTTTACATCTAATTAAACTCCTCATATGGAAATTGTTTTATTCACTGAGGGAGTTTTTTTTTCTTTACTTCAAAGTTTCCCAATTAAAATAAACAAATTTATTTTTATTTGCTTTTTGGAATATTATTTTAATAGTTAGTCCTTTTTACAACTGTTGAACCCAGTTTGCATTCACTGCTTTCAAAGCAAATCTTACTGTTGCAAATCACAGAACTAACAGAAACAAAGAGCGGAAACATTCTCCCAGTAGGTTTGTGGGTTCATGGAGTTGATTATCTTCCAAAATGGCTTTTTCATTTTAAGTGAAAAAGTTCACATTTTAATTTTACCAATACCATCATCACCAAATCTTGTGCAATTGACAGAGTGTTGTCCCCACCAACACCCCTCAGTGCTCTGAGAAAAGAAGTCATTCATTTATTTTCAACAAACAATAACAACAAAAAAATTAACACAAATATTGAATGACACTACAGAGACAAAGATATTCAACACTGTTTTCAAATGCTAAAAACTGGGGATTAGAAACAATTTAAATCTTCCACTGAAAAGAAAAAACTTTTAATAAACAATCACATTTTATAATGTTAATAAGTTTTTAGTAAATGCTCAATAAAACACAGAAACTGTGACTCAGTTTGGGTTTTATTAGATCATTAGTGGTTAAGCCGTGTTGTCAGTCAGGAATCACATACAGATAAAGCAAAAGCAGAAAACTGGATCGGCTCCATCCTAGAAGTTGGATATTAAAACAGGGAAGGTCACTGTGTTTAATAATAATTATGGTAGCTTCCATATGATGCACTGTGCAAAAACAACAGTTCAGCATGACTACAAAGTTCAGAACAAGCGCATGTGATGAACAGCGAGAAGTACTGTTGAAGTTAATAATCATCTGCTCAGATAACGTGTCACATTATATACACAAGACGGCAGGAGACATAGCTCAAGTAAAATAGTGCTAAATCTAACCTGGAAGCTATGATCTCAGTTACTTTTGGAAGCAGAAGTCTTGTTTAAAATTAATGTTATGAAAAATATGTTTCATAACTTATGACCCCCTCCCATAGCCTACTCCTTTGCTGCCAAAAATAAGAACACAGTTTTTATGTACATTGCTGGAGTGCAGGGGTGCCTGAATCCTGTCCTCAGTAGCAGGGCCCCTCGGAGCTGAAAGACTGCTGAGGGGACGTTACATCTGGTCCAGAATGTTAGGGAGAGACATGCAGGACAGGAGCCCCCAGGACTGGACTTGGGAAACCCTGCATTAAGATCCTCTGAACACAAAATGGTCAACATTTCTGATTCAATTTATTTTGGAGCAGAAAGTAGTCAAATTAAAATGATCAACACTAGGGGTCAGTCTTACACAAAGGCATAATAGGTTTAGCTTCAAAGCAGCCTGTTACCAGCATAAGGTGTTGTTCTGGTTCCGCTCTGGTGTGTGTGCGTGCGTGTGTGTGAATTCATAGAGAAAAAAACGAAGGCAAAATTTGTCCTTTTTATGGGAAATTACAGTAATATGGTCAGATATATATGTATAATTTGACAGTAAAGTATATGAAAAAAACACAATGTGTATGAGCAAGTCTGCCAGTATAAAGAAGGTATGAGAGGAAAATAACAATAAGATGGAAAATACTATGGAAAACAGTTTAACAAAAACAAGAGTTCTGCAAAAGGTAGAAGTGACAGCAGAAAGCACTGTGCCTATAAACAGATAGATTAATCAGAAGAAGATAATATTTAACTCATGATTTAAAAAGATTAACAGCGAAGGAAACGTCAGAAAAATGTTTTGTGATTTCATTATAGATAAGAGTTTATATTTGTGTTTCTCTTGTGAAACACAAGAGAAATTACCTCTTTTCTTTCCATCTTATTTTTCCATCTTATTTTTTTTATTTATTTATTTTTTACACCAATCTCATTGTATATTTTTGGTGCTCTCTCCCAACCTCATGATGATACTCCTCATTATAAACAAAACATGTGTCTTCTTCCCTCTTTTTTATTTATTCTTATTCAAAATAACTAGAAAAAAAGTTTTTCACATATTTGTTAAAACCTTCATTATGTTGTGACAGTGTAACATAAAATAAAAAATCTGTGAGAAAAAAAAATCAAGCTCTTCTGTCTCCTCCCTGCAGTTCTACTGCCATCTGCAAAAATACACTGCATTGTCAGGAACAACTAATCAGAGTCAGGAGGCGGGTCTCTGTGCGGTCAACCATGCTTGTCTATGTGCTGCTCACACCCTTCCTCCTACTCTCTGCCAGGCTACAGATGGCTCCTCACACCAGAGCCCATTGTTAATGCTCAGGTTCGTTAGCATAGCCACCAATGATGTCAGATAAACAGCTTTTCAGTAATGGTCAGTTGTTTCTGCACATTGAGCAGTGCATACATGATGTTACTCGACAGTTCTATGCCCTCCTTCTGGCTCTAATTGGTTGTTTCTGATCAGTAAAGGTGCATTTCTGCAGATTACATTTAGACCACAGACAGGAGGTCTCATGTTATATTTTCACAACATACTGATCAAAAAAATATTTATGGAAGCTATGTATGTCAGCTTTAACAAAATTCTAATTCTAGTTTTTCTGGTCAATGGATGAAAGAAGTTAAAGCATATAAAATGATCTCCAGGTCGACTGATGTTCTGCTTGTGTTTGGTTTTGGCCATCATTTCTACTCTATTATTGGTGTAAGCTGGTGACACAAACACATGTAGCTACTTATGTCCAAACTGAGGAGTTGAATGTTAGTTGTATCTTATCAGTTTTTAGGTGTTTGTGAGTGTTAGAATATCAGACTAAAGTAAATGTGTGATGGACACATCCAAACCGTTAGTGCTAAATCTGTGTTTTCAGAAGACTCTATAAACCATCTGTCATTAGTAGAAATGGTGGCCAAACCTGTGAAAATAGGACCAACATATCATCACTGTCCCAGTTATTGTTGAATATTCTTTTTAATCCAAATCAAGCCTAAATCTCAATGTAGATACAAAGAATTGGTCTGAATGGATGAAGGTTTCTTTGCGCTATATTTAGTCGCTGTCTTTATCGTCATCATCATCCTCATGTAAGGCATTATGGCTCTCTTCTTCTTCATCCTCATCATGCTCTTCTTCATCCTCGCCTCCATTCACCATCTCCATCTCAACGTCCACCTCAGTGTTGTCTACTTCCACATCCTCCCCACCTATTGGCTCTACTTCCCTGGACACCTCCACCATCTCGGTTCCTTGGACCACTTCCACTTCACCCTCACGGATCTTCTTCACGTGGAAGGTGAAAGGGGGCACCTTATAGACGGCGGTCTTAGAGCGGGCGTAAACAACGTGGTCCGGTGTGAAGGCCTTCTTCATCTTGTCACCAGATGTTTTAATCTTCTGTTTTCGCTCAGGGTTCACACTCATGCGCGTTCCAAGTTTACCCATCTTCTTTTCGATGTTGTGACGTGTCTTCTCCAGATTCTCCTTTGTTTTCTGCTTTGTCTTCTCAATGTTTTCCTTGGTCTTTTGTCTGGTTTTCTCCAGATTCTCCTTTGTCTTCTGCTTTGTCTTTTCAATGTTTTCCTTGGTCTTTTGTCTGGTCTTCTCCAGGTTCTCTTTGGTCTTTGCTCTGGTCTTATCCATCTTGTCCTTGGAGAAGACAGTCTTCAGGTTTTGCACCCGCTGCAGACTGGTGCGCTTGATGCGTTCAGCTCGGGTCTCCTCGATGGCGTCTTCAATTTCCACTCCCTCTTCATCTGAGGAAAGGTCTACATGGGGTTTGTCCTCCTTGTCGCCCTCCACTGCTTCTCCAGGTTCCTCCACAGCCTCTTTGAGCTCCAGAAGACTGCCTCCTCTGCTTCCTGACACAGACTCAGAAACTTTCAAAGACTTGGAGATGCTGAGTTTTGAGGGCACTTTCACATCATCCTGTGGAGAAAGAAACATAAAGACTTTGATGCATACTGGACAAGATCTTGCTTGCATATAATAACCATGAGGTCATATCAGCAAGTGCAACAAAAAACATATTCAAAGTTAGAGAAGAGGATGGTTTTTGAATTTGTATTAGTTTTCACTTTCATTGATTTTTTAAATGCATTTTATATGAAGCTGTGCTGTAAAATAAACTGCAGAGAAACATCAGAGTTACAAACTACAGTGACTTTCAAAACTAGACGCATGAGAAAATACCAAAAAATCCAACAGTAGACTAAAGTTTCTATAAAATTCATAATGTTTGTTTGCTGGTGTGAATTCAAATTCCACTACACTGAAGCTGAAACAGAAATAATTATTTTAACAGTCTGCACATATATGCAGCCTTATTACTGTAGCTTTTTATTTTTTGTAAAATATTTTGTCCGTAAATACATGAGTTCATACTTTAAGTCTAAGTCTGTTTGCCCATTATTTTTTCTTACTATGTAAAAATGATTCCTGAGGCTACAGTGAGGAAAACGTGGAATCTTTGGCCTGGATTCAGAGAAAAATGAGGATCATTGGAATGACAATAACTGAAGGGCGTTTTCTGCTGCAGCTGTGGAGAAAGTGTGTTGCAATAAATTCAAGTTGGATTAAATGATGCATTTCCCCTTTGGCTCTTATTAAAAAGATGAGATGTACATAGTGTTGACATCCAGTGACACGCAGGGGCATGCGGAGAATGTTTCCCTCTGCTGCTATTTACTTAAACTGCTTCTTGTTTTGGACCATGGACTGTGTTGGATTGTGCAAACAGCTTAATCAAGGAATAGAACTGCAGTAAACCAAATCTGAACGGGAATTTTTTTAATGAGGTTTACTTTAAGCGTGCTCATGTTCGTTTGTGGTGAATTTTGCAAACTTGATCTAAATAAATCAAACCAAAATGAACTTAATAGCACTTTTAATTTAAACTGGGTAAGGCCTTTTTGAATCAGACATATCTTGTCTATTTCAAGACAAATTTTGTCTTCTGGTTGACTGATTCCCAACATCTGAGCTAAATGGAGGAAAATGTATTTTCAGGTGACACCTCAAGCACACTGAATTGATTTTGTGTGACATTATGGAGAAATTCAGAAACGTCTGAACGGTGCATGTACCTCCACTAGTCTACTTCATCCTTAGGTCTAATTTCCAGATACCCAAAGCTTCCACATTCATTGTTTCTAACAATTATATCCAAGTAGAAGCATCAGTAGTTGTTCAGGAAGGAGGCAGGTTCTATTTCACAGAGATGAATTGGTTCTGGTGTGAAATATGTGAATCAATCCCAGAACTAAAGACAAGGAATTAGTGAAGATGCAGCTGCTGCTGGTAGCACAGTGCAGAGCCAGAAACCTGACCCGGTTACATCGGTTCTGCCTGAATAATGGGTCAAAACTCTAGCAGTCTATTGTGGAATTTACCTGTAGAGGGAAACCCAAAATATTTGACCTAATTCAGACAGCGTAAAGGAAATTTGACCAAATACTGGAGAAATGGATAGAAACTATGCTTTCAAGTTGTTTATGAATCTCTCATTATTCATTCAGCAAACAGAACAGTAGGTAAGTCTGATTTCATGTCAAACACAGAGAAACCAAGATCTGTGTTTTTCATATAGTTTGTGTGAATATCTGGGTTTACATGTCACCTTACTGAGCTTCTCTCCTGGAACTTCTCTCCACCATATTGTCCTCCTGCTCTTGTGACCTGGATCATACTGAACAGGAAGGACGATCAGAGGACAGCCGATCCACCTGGACTCCTGAATGTCTGCATGTACAGCTTGTTATTCCTGTTGTCTTTTCCTCTGACCCTGCACTGCCTCTTAATGGAAACAGCAGAGAACAAAGGAGTCCCAGAGTGTGTAGTGCGGCCAGGCTAAGGTGTGGAAAACTGACATGTTTTTCTCCTGTCATTCCTCAGAGTCTTGGAAAACCATCTGTCCAACAGGAAGATGATAGCATCAAAGTGTTAGCTGGAAGGTATGGGAATGAGAGCAGAGGGTGGAGGCATGTCTATTGTGTTCCCTTGGCAAATGCTGATGGTTGTTTGGAGGTATTGTGCTACAGTATCTTGGGTAAACTTGACCTTGCAGGAGGGATTTAGGCTTTCCTGAGCAGCTGTGTTAACAGGCAGAGGAAAGGAAAATTTGCCTCATTTTCAAACAAACCATGTTGGACTTCACTACAGCAGGCCCTTTGTGCTTACAGCGATCTATTATAAGGACCCAAGTGAAATCATATAATGATTGCTTTGGTACTTTTTAATAAAATGTAACCTTTCATCATAAAGAAATGAATGCAGCCATGCAGCACCTGGAATTAAAAACATAAATGTGCCAGAACAAATAAATAATTGTTGACTGTAAATCAAAGCTGCTTTTTGTTATCTCAGGTTGTATCAGAAAGGCAAAAGAAAAGTAAAAACTGTAGATATCTGTAAGGGGGAACAGTTTTTGTCTATTTTTCTGTTTCTCGTTCAGTCAAAGGGTTGGAGTTAACCTCTACCAAGTCTTACCAAAAATATATTTTTTAAATTATTATTTTTGTTCTTCAAGTTGAAAAGGCTGGTTGGGAGTTTATTGCCACTGTAAAAGTATTCATACTTATTGAACGTTTTGTGATGTTACCATCACAAACTTGATAGGCTCTTATTATGATTTATGTGACAAACCAACACAAAGTAGAGTCAAAATGTGAAGTGGAAGAGAAAAGTGATCCAGGTTTTAACATAAATAAAAAATTAGAACCTGACATTTTGTATTTTTCACCATTTAGTTAGATCCCTTGAAAAACTCCAAATGCCCTATCATAGCCTGGCTCCATTAATTCCACTGGAACCTCATCAACCTGTCAGCAGGCCAAACACTGCAGAGAACGCATTCTTACTGTCTAATCTATGGTCAGAGTTACTGAGGTCACAAATGGCCACCACTGACGACTGTAAGCTGCTTGTTTATTAGCACACAAAACATTTACTCTGAACATGTGTCTTATGTTGAGGTTTAAAGATGATTCCACTTTAACAAGAGGTTGCTCAGGGATAAACGCTTCATCATCAATTTCCTTAACTAAAGAAACTCTATCAGTCACTGTCACTGGGTAATGAGTCTATAAGGAATTACTTCAACAGCAGAGGAAATTCTAGGCTGCATGCTTTTCCGTGTCCATGGTGCATGGAAAGAGTTGTGGGAAGTTTAGGTATTCACCTTGGTGTTTCTCACTTCCTGACCCTCCTCATTTAATGGGACATTGTTCTTGTTGAGGCAGCTACCCCAAAGACAGGAAGGTACAGTCATAGCCATGGAAAATAGATGAACGAGGTACGTCATCATTCTGAACGTGTGTGTGTGTGTGTGTAAGTGTGCGTGCGTGTGTGTGTGCGTGCGTGTGTGTGTGTGTGTGTTGTTGTCAAGGCAAGGCATTGAGACATAGTTTTGCCCACATTGCTTGCAAAACACAAGCAGACAATTTCCATATCTAACTCAGCCCTAGATTACAAAATAATTGCTGGGAGGAAAGTTCAGGAGAGGTGTTTGGAGTAGAGGAGCAGGTTTCTCTCTAAGCCCAAACATGTCGCTATGTCTTATAAATAACAGAAAATAACTGATCCCCCCCGTTATTTTTTTCTTAATTTACAAATAAAGTAAAAAAAAAAGCAAACAAAAAGCAAAGTACATTTCTTTGCCTACACTGCATGTTTTCTTTCAGGTCATTGTGTAGTTCAAGCACTGTGAACACTCTCATTACAGAAGAGGGATTGTCAAGTGAATATTCTGGGCTGGTCTGAGTCCCTCAATAATCCAAAAATGATTGTCTTCAACAGGTCTTTGCAGCAGACCAATTTTTAAAATCAGAAAACTGCTACTGTCAGTAAAGAGGAAGCTAATATTACCCTCACCCAACACGGATGTATTTGACATCTCAGGAATGTTGGATGTAAGTTTGGATCTCTGGGCTTTTTGAAGGGTAAGCAAACACTGAGGAACAGCCATGGTTTCATAAAGGATAATCTGAAGCAGTGGAATGTACTCTGACTGCCTCCTTGTTCCTGACAGTGTTGATGTAGCCAATAGACCTCCACGTGTTTTTGTCCATATGTGTTCTGTGTTGCAAGCAAGAATATTCTAAGGTAGAATTGATGCCCTAAAGTCACCCAAAGCATCATAAGGTACCAGGCACTTGCAGAGGAGGTGTGTGTGTGTGGGGGGGGAGAGGGCGAAGGGGGCTTGAGCCCCTGCCCCCTGCTATAAATAGAAGTTACTGCAGAATCTCAAGTGTTAAAGGAAGATTCGGCCCAAATTATTTAGAGTTCACAAAATAAACATCAGTGAAAATAATGTAGCAATAATTAGAACCGCAGCATTAAGCCAAACATGCCACAATTAAATGAATCAAAATGTCCCCAAAGCGTTGGGGGACTGACACAGGGGCCACAGGAGGATGCCAGGTAGATTCCAGGTAGATTCCAGAGATGCGCATCGCAGCGACTGTTCCTGCAGGGCTGACCCAAAGAAATATGAACCAAAAACTTAATACCTGTTGGGGAAAATATACTACACATGCTTTGCATTGTCAATGATATAATGATACAATTCAATTCTTGTTTAATATGGGTTGTTGCTATGCTACTGGACGGTGTGTTAAGATCTTGTTCAATGTGCCCCTTTTGTACTTTGAGCCCCTGCCCCTCCAAAGGTCTCTGCACGGCCCTGTAAGGTGCCTTCCAAAGCCGTTGAACATTATGAGCTAAATGAGAAACTAACTAATAGTTTAACTACCTATACATCACTAGATGTAACTTGGTGCCATACATGAACAAACTATACTGTCTTCAATGAAAGCTGTTGAAGTGTGTGTTGTGTTTGTTGGTGATACCAAAAAGCTACTGACTGGTTTTTATCCAGCACATGTGCTTCTAAAAGAGTGTGTCTGTGCTGCTCGTCCTCACTGCTGGCC